TGTTTTTCGGGCCTGTGTCTTTAAATGCAAATGAGCTGCTGCTCCCCGCCCCCTTTTCTAGAATAGGACTGTGCCTTTACAGCTAGTTCCTCAGATACTCTGCTAAAAAAAAACAAAAAAAAACATCTGTTTGGTTTTGATCATCATATCTATCGCACTGGAACCATGCGTTTTAAACCACATTAGTTTAAACTTCTGATATAAGGTTTTCTGAGGTCACACATCCAAAGCACACACACAGAAAGCACGGCATGGGAGTACTAAACTAAGTTCTCTTTCATGTCCTATTGTGCTTAAACTGTTAAATACACACGTTTATGTTAAAAACACACATGAGTTACAAAAACACTCGGTTATGTCTGTGAAGGTACACAGCTGAGAAAGAAATTGCATGTTTATATTAGATCTGTGTGGCAGCAGTGTAATATACAGTAAATAAATCAATAAATCCACTGCTCTGTTGTCTCCTCTGAGGCTGGGACTCTAACTAGTGTTCTGTGCTCGTCTGTGCAGCCAAAGACAGAACAGTTAGCATGCTTTGCTCAAACTTTCGCCATGGGGTTAGAGCTGGCACACCATTGTCGCTAGCGAAAACACAATGTCGGTGCCGTGGGTGGAAACTTGCAGATTAAGGGGTAGCATTTACGTTACGGGGGAAGTGAAATCTGAGGGGCTCATTTTTTCAAAAGCTTGCAGAGAAAGGCTTACCAAAAGAACATTTACTGGGTTGTTCTTTTTCACGTTTTCTGGGTTGGCAAATGCACCAGGGGACCCGATTATAGCACATAAATATGGAAAAAGTCAGATTTTCATGTTACAGAATGTCACCTTTAAAATAGCACACTTACTTTTTTTTTTACAGTATTAAAGTGAAAATATGCAGCTGTCTCAGTTTGTTTTTTAAGACGCTGGTTCTCCACAAAGAATATAATCATATTTGGGGGATCTTGGCATCAAAAAATATAAAATCCCAGCACTACAACACCAAGGGATGACCTTTTAAATGGATCTGTGTCAAGTGTATCAACACAACAGATAGAGACATCACTGTATTCATTGTCATCTCACTGCAGATGCCTGTGCTTATCAGCAAAATCACTGATGCTGTCTGCGTTCACGGCATTCTGCTTCGTATAGCAGGCTGTCTGCATGTCGAATTATGCGAAATGACAGCTAAACGATTTTCACCCACCCTCTGTAATCGCACAAAGAACATACTGTATACAAACGCTCAAGCCTCACTGTATACACCAGCCGACACAAGACCTTGGTAGTCATAGCAACAGTTTTACAAAGGTCTCTTGTCAAAGGTGGTCCGATATCAGTGGCTTTCAAACCTAAACACCTACTCACACACACAAACACCCCATCAATAATCACTATTAATGCTTATACAAGTCTTTTGTACTTCTCTGTGAGGTTTTTTCTTAGTAACTGTAACTGATTACAGTTGCACTTATTTTGTAATTACATTATATCATTTTGCTACATGTAACTATTTACTCCCCAGCTCTGGCTCTATGTGTGTGTGTTTATATGCAAATACAATTCTAAATTAAATCTGTTCATCACATTAAGTGATCATATCTTTTCAAGATTTGGATGAATCCATTTGATTCATATGGATTCAATTTATGATGCCTTTTTAACTTTTTTGATCTTTTAAGTTTATTGGCTGTATTTATGCAACTAGGTCCAGACACTGTATGATAAAGCCCTCAAGCACCATATGGAAAATCATAAAAAGCATATATTCTGCATAAGCTTCATTGATGTCATGAAAATGTAAGACATGTGTTTTAGGCTTACATTCTTCAGCTTCTGATTGGTTGTGTTTTATGATTGACTGTCGCATCTCGCCTCATTTCCGTGTGTGATGTGGACAAATTGGCTGGTGCTGAAATCTTTTTGCACAGCACCTGGTTAGGAAACTATGTAAAGCAGCTTGGAACAGCATGGGTATTTAACTATACGTAGTGCCTATGCTTATTTGCAATGTACAACCAAACAGGTATGAAACATGAAAGATGTTAAAAAGGTGGTCATTGCTCACATTCGTAGTGCAAGTTCTCAAATTTGGGGCTGTTGTCATTCTCGTCGAGGATAAGAATGTTGAGTTGACAGATGCCTATGAGGGGGTCCGCCGCTTGGTCCGTGGCCGTCACTGTTACTGCATACTCTCTCTGCCTCTCCCGATCAAACATCATAGCAGTTACGATAACACCTGAAAAATTACCTGTTACCACTGAGCTTCCGTTCACTGATAGTTACATAACATTCACCAGATTCTAATACACACACATAAATATATATATATATATATATATATATATATATAGCATCATCCGCATGGACCTGCAGCACAAATGTTCCCACTGGCTTATTTTCCAGAACTGATGCCTTCTCTTTATACTCGGCACACTGTGAGAGGGAAAACAGAGAAAGAAAAGGAAAATGTACAGTAAGTAAACCCAATTTTAATAAGGCTATTTACTCTTGTATTAAGATCTGTCTTGGGTGATCAGATCACAAGTGGTCAGCCGAGACAATTATTGTTTACACCTGGTAATATTGGTCTCCAGTGCAACTTCACAAAACTGAATAAAAGGAAAATGTTTTATATTTTCAATTCAATGGTAAATTACTTTTAAAGCAGCACATACTGTAGCAAAAAAACTAAACAAAAAAACAAACAAACAACAGTATGCTTATTGCAAATACGGTCACCCTGGAGCAACGGGAGAGCTACAGTGTCTTCTGATCTGCTTTCACCACTGAGCCTTATGAATCATTCCTTCCAGAGTTTGAACCTTTGAAACCTTTGGCTTACTAACCCAGATCTTTGAGATGCAAAAAGAAATGATAAAAATAGTGATTACTAAGCCTTGACACTACAATGCACTGAACAATTTTAATCATCAGTATATGGACAAAATGCTCATGGTCAAATTAACGAACATAACTTCACTGATTAGACTACTCATGTAAGTTATAAGTGCTCTAATAACAAAAAAAGGACCAATGAGCTGGTACTGTAAGGGCAGTGAATGTGGATCATTACTGAAATCAAGTAATTTATAGCAATTGAAAGAAAGAAAGAGAGATGAATAAGAAAAGCAGTAAGCATTACGGAGTGGACGCACATTGACGGTACGAAGAATGGGAGAGGAGGCGTATTAATGCTTATGTAGCGTCTGCGTAGAATCATGCATGATCTTTGGGGTTTTATGGCTTAAGAGACCCTTTTAGCCTTTTGACATTTGCATATAAATTACGGTCCTGGTCACAGACTTTACGTTTGTATGGGGGTCTAAATTGCCAAATGGTTCCTCGCCATCAAGGAGATTCTAACCATTATCTCTTTGGTACTGTTGAGATTCATCTCTGTATTATAATTGAAGCGCCCTTGAATCAATTCCATCTCACTGAATCTGTGGAGACGTCTGGAATAAGCCTGGATAATTCAGCCATGCTCCACCACCCACACACCTTCTTCATCCTCGCACGCGCGTGTATGAGTGTGCGTAATCACAAAAATAAAGAAAGCGCTGTCTTCCCTTCATCATTAGATAGCTGAGGTTAGATGAGACTCTGGGAGAACAAATACAGTATATAAATCCCTTTAAAACACATGGTGACAATTCCCAAATCAGTCCACCAACTTCTCCTTTGATGGCCACTTCTGACACCTAATTAATAACAAGAAACCCAGTCTTCCCTGTGATGGTCTCTTTCATCCTTCAGCTAGCTAAAACCTGGCCACTAACTCCGTGTTGTTCAATCAGTCAGGTGAGCGTGAAATCCCATAAGGTCAGAAGTGCAAACATCAAGCGTTGTACCCCTTGTGAGTCCATCTCACAAACCTCCAGAAACCTGGCAGTAAAACACACATGCCGTGGGCCTACAAGTAAGAGAAGTTCTCAGCAGAGATCCATGACCACTGATGTTCACACATCCACGGGAACGGTTTGGTATTCCAGAACACAGATATTACAGGGGAATGGGACGAGGTTCAGGTGGGAGTTTTATTAAAAAAACAACAAAGAACTTTACTTCTTAGTTACAACCCCCTTTTCTCACTTAAAAATGATGGATAAATGTATTCTAGGAAGCTAGAATGGCACGGAAAAGGATAAATAGAAAGCGTGCAAAGAATAGAATGAGTGCAAAAACGGAATGGGGTTAAAATATCTAGCTGAGCAGTGGCATAAATGCTTTATTTATTTCATTTTGAGAAGTCTGGTTCTGAGGTCTTTCAGCGGAGCAAGAACTGCCACTTTGGCTTCCCCGTGCTGGCTCAAACACTAAAGAGATGTCTTGCGTCTCAGTGGATGCTAATTTACTTCACACCCTGCCAAGAGAAACTCAAACAAAATACTCCACAGACCTGAAGAGAAGTTTTTAAGTACTAAACGTCGGCCCACGGCCAAGCATCTCCTCACCTCACTGCGCAGCCTGGGGAGATTAAGACCCTCTAAATATCTTCAGTGTTGCACTCAACCCATATTTACTGGAGACATCAGGAAGCAAGCAGGCCCATAATGATTCAGCACATATTTCAAACACTTAATTAAAAGTCTACAGCTGATCAAGCAGCAGCCCAGGTTGCTTTGCTAATAATATCTCATGAGAAAAAAAAAAGGTGGGAGTGGATAAATTGGAGAGAAAACTAAAGAGGCAAAAGAGAGAGAGAATATGCGAGAGAAAGAGGGAAGACAAATGCTCTATTCCAAAACCTTCAGACGAAGAGAAACAGCATTCGAAAGCAGAATAGGTGGGCCCTGATGCAAAGGTTGTTTAAAAGGAAGGCAATTATTTTGCCTCCTAAGGCACATCATTTTGGCCAAAATCTAGGAATATGTATAGGCCAAAAATGAAATTATTATATATGAATATGTATTCATAAAACCTGAGTATGTAGTTTATTCTGAATAAAAGCAAACAAACAAAAAATATTCAGGAATTAGAAATATATATTCAGAGTTTACTTGTATATATTCAGCATTTAAAAATGAAAATGGTCACACTTTATTTTAAGGTCCAATTCTCGCTATTAACAAACCATTAACTACAGCTTTTGCCTTAATGCACATATTTGTTTACAAGTTGTTAAGTTTAGGTATTGGGTAGGATTAGGGATGTAGAATATGATCATGCCGAATATGTGCTTTATAAGCACTAATAAACAGCCAATATTGTAGGGATTTCTAGTACATGAACGGACACTGATATGCCCCTATCAGCCATCATGAGGTTTGCTAATCACCCCAGCACATGACTCCAATATTCTGGGTCGACTTCCTGCCAGTCTTGTCGTCATCTACTCAGAGGAGTGATTAAAGACTAATCCAATCAAGAGACAACAAAGCTTTCTTTGTATCAAGAACTAAAAAGTTCTTTCACCATATATAGTTGAGAGAATACCTCGTGATCGCTTAGGCATAGGACCCTTATATGTATGCACAGGAAATGGCTAATTTAATCACACCCTCAGGCTTGCAGAACAACAAACCTAAAGAACAGTGATAACGTGATTCAATCTATACAGCGTGACGCCACATGACTTTTTGAACATCTGCTTCCTGAAACCCCAACGGACCCGCGTCCTTATCTTACAACAAAAGAAACAGAACGTACACAGACAATTCATAAGACAATCAGTGAAAATCATTGAAAGTATCGGAGCAATATATTCACAAATAATATGTTTATGTCTGATGATGTGTGATGTGTTTCCTGTAATCGGTGCAAGTTTAACCAATGTGTATAAACACCTTTTAGTAATTAAAATTATTAATGTGTATGCAAACTATCCGATATTGAGCGTGAATGAAAGCTTGCTTTATTCGCCGAACATTGGTGTTAGTGAAAATTTTATATTCTGTATCATTCTCTGGTGATAATACTTTTATCAGAAGTTATTTAAAACTTCCAGAAGTACGCCCCACGGGGGCATGCGACTTGTGCATGAAAAAAAAGGAACCACACAGGGTGTGGCTAAGCCCCGCAGCCACCATCGATTGGACAATCGCGTATGGGATGGACCAACATCGAGCCGGCTTAAAAGGAATACAAAGCTCGCTCTCGCTCGCTTACTCTCGAAAGAACTGTGGCTTTCCGCCTTGGTGGGCGCGACAAAAAGCGTTCCCATGCCGTAACATCGCACAGCGAGACCATCTAAGAACTCAAACACTTCAGTTGAACCTTCGCGATCTTCAAAGAACTTAAAGTCTTGCAAACAGAGACTTTTCAGCAAAACTGCTCAAGCTTCTGGCGTCATCAAGAGACCAACCAATCCAACGAGGGCT